CTACTGATTAATTGATCAATCTTTCTCGGTATTGATATCTGCTTTTATTTTCATTTCATAGATCAATATATTATAATAGATCGAAAACTTTTTAACCTATTCATTCTTTAAAGAACGTCTTAATTGACAAGAAATACAAGAAAATGCCCTCTGTTTTTTTCTGAAATATATGCGTGATTCATAAGTTGTAATAATCCTTTGTTAAATGACTGATAACGGTCGTATCATTTATTTGGCAACCACTTACGACACAGCGGTACGTCATTACCTGTACACTTGGAAAACTTCAACTAAGTCTCATATTTGATTATCATAAAAGGCTGACAACAGCTACAAGGATCATTGTGCGTAATATTTCTTATCTAATGTCCGTGCCAGAATGAAAGAGGGGTGGATGTAAGCGCAATATCTTGATAACGGCAACACTTAGAGACCTGCAGCTTTTACCAATTGAAAGAGGACAAGTCGGGATATCTTTCTCCCCAATCATGTATAAGACGAAATCCTTTGAAAACTAAACATCTTCGAAAAGCATGCAAAAGAATGCATGAAAATGACCTGTCATCTTAGTAAAATTTTGATTTTGACCTTTGATTTAAATAGAGAGACTTGAAATCTATAATTAAAGATACAATGCAATTGGTTCTCTTATTACTTTATAAGGTTGAACAAAGGGAATCACGTATTTACATGTGCAAATAACAGTGAGTTTTGCTGGTTTTTTACTAAGTTTTCAGACTTTTTATCATAATAGCTTGATATTTCGATAAAAACTTAATGAAAAGTGAGAAAGCGTATTTTATTCTAAACTATAGATCTCAAGTCTCTCTATCTAAATCAAAGATAAGAATAAAAATTTTACTAAGATGGCAGGTCATTTTCATGCATTATTTTGCATATTTTTCGAAGATAAGTAGTTTTCAAAGGCTTTCGTCGTATGCACGATTGAGGGAAAAGATATTCCGATTTGTCCTTTTTCAAATAGTAAAAGTCGCAGGTCGCTAACAGTTGCCGTTATCGAGATATTGCGCTTACAATCACCCCTCTTTCATTCTGACACGGACATTAGGTCGTCTTAACCTTCTTATCTCTTGACCACCTTTACCCCCGTTTATTCCTCTTCTTATGAACATATATGTCAAACTTGAAACTTGAATTCAAGTATTCAATTATTGAAACTTGAATACTTGAATAGTTGAACTTCAAGTATTCAATAGTTGAATACTTGAATACTTGAAACAACTTTTCAATAATTGAATTAAAGTTTCAAGTTTGACACTACTGTTATTTCTCGTCTCTCAGCATAAGTGAAAGAAATATGCACTAGTCATCTCCATATGAGAATTGATCGAAATATAAATGAAAGAATCGATACTGATTGCTGTTCTATTTCTTTCATTCGTTAGTAGTAGTTCAAGATCAGACGTTGACTATTTGAGAATCAATAAGTACTTTTGCGATTCATCAGGAATGTTGAATGAGCGTGATCAACAGAAGTGTTACAAGATAAATATCTTTAATACAATGACGCTTTTATTGCACTAACTTTGCAGAAAAGTTTATTCAATGTAGGTCATATGAGGTAACTAGCAGTCTTTTATTTGACTTATTATCAGTGTCAATGCACAGGTGAAGATTTTCCAATGAGTGACACGTCACCAAACAACTTGCGAAAAGATCTTATTTTACTTACAAATGCTATCATAAGACCTCTTCTCTGTATCTGATCATGCGTTTATTCCGTTCTTTTCCATATTTATCTTTCTTGAGGAATTTTCGTCCATGGATATTTCTCATATGTTCATCATCCTCTACAGAGTTGTGCATTGACTGCAAACAAGTCTACGAGTGAGAGTTGAGTTTCACGGTGACTAATTTGATTCGGGCTATGCGAAAATTCGTATTTAGCTCTTTTTTGTATTTCATTCAATAAGCTTGCCGAGAGAAAAGAAAAGACTCATATCAGCTGTTGTGCTCCATAACGAGTTATCAACGTTGTCCTGCTGACAATGCATTGTAAATCAAGAGAATCTTGAAAAAAAATCAAATTTTGAATGATCTTATTTACTTTTTATCAAGTATATCATTTTGCTTTTTTTTCAAAGCTGGTATCTCGTTGAAAGACTATTGTTGAAATTGGGTGTGGATGTGGGTGTGGGGTGTGTGGGTGTGGGTGTGGGGTGTGGGTGTGGGTGTGAGTATGGGTGCTGATGTGGATGTCCCTTTAAGTAATACCCATTCACACTCACACCCACACCCACCCCACACGCACCCACACCCAACCCATCCACACCCACATCCACCACACCCACACCCACACCCAACACATCACGCCACTGGAATCTTATTCAAGAAAAAAAACTAGACTTCGAATTCAGTTTGTTCGACAACTATCCTTAACTCGCGAACTATTCTTACTGATTAGTCATATTCATTCTCTTTTCGACTATCGTTATTTGTTCTATATATTGAAATTCTTTCTCAATTTATGTAATTTTGTCGTGTCATCGAAGAAGGTTGACATCATTGTCAACATATTGTTGAAACATTTGTCACACTGGAGTGGACATATCTTATTTAAACAATAAATAACTAACCTCAAAAATAAACATCTCTTTACAGTCAAAATAACATATTGATTTTAATCGACTTGTCAATAACCTTATCTTGACACTGATTTATTTTAGTGGCAAATTTCGAGTTGAGTCATTTCACGTCGAAGATAGAAATAAAATCGATGAGAAAAAAAACTGAGTCTATTTCATTGAATGACATTCAATATGCACTTTACTACGACTTTCCACAATCATATGTTTATTTATCTATAAAATAATATGTTGAGAATGTTTGATTTCATAAATAGTAACAGTTGATAATGATACAATCGGCAAGAAATCCATATAATGTGTCTAGCTTAATTATGGAGAGTGATAGTTTTTGAGGAAAGAACATTTTACCTAAATGTTTCGATCGATGTTATGGATCGAAAAGTTCGATATGGAGCAGAGAACAAAATCGATCCATCAACAAAAATTGCACTTCTAAACATGACTCCTTGTCAAGAATTCTAAGGAATGAATTCTTCATCAATTATATTTTATATTATGTTGGTTTTATCAAGAAACATTGACATTATACAAAAGACAAATTATAAATAGGTTATCAATAAAACGTCATCGGATCATTATGTCGAACGAGCAAAACAATAGAAAGATAAATAGAGACGATTCTTATCGATTATCGATATAAGGCTATTGTAAAATGGTGATAAATTGCTGTTAGACTAATTATTAATAATAATATAGTCTTTTAGGATAAAGACACTTTTTACTAATCAGCTAATCTTGAAAGCAAAAATAAAATATATTCGTTTCCTATTCGATAGGATTGAATGATATTTGAGTTAGGTTATTCCTAATAAGAGATCTAACGAATCTCTAGTTGACGGGACGTAGTGCGTTTCTATTCATAAATGATTCTATCTAAAAGCCACGAATCATTCTATATAAACTGTTTAAATGGAAATATAATCAATCGGTCGAAATTAAAAAAAAAAGAAAAAATCAATAAAATTTTTTTTCCCAGAGTGAAAAATCTTAACTTTTCGATCGAATAACAAAGAACTAATGGCATGATAAATCAATGTTGAATCTTTTACAAATTTACCGTCTATTCGATCCTTGAGAGTCTTAAATAATTGTCTTAATTCGATGTTATTTTACTAATAATAGAATTCGTTTTTTTATGAATACTATATCAGCAAATGAACGAATAGAGCCTAATCAGTTAATCAATTCATATTTGTTATCAATATATTGTCTAACTAACAGTTACAACAAAATTACAGAAATCTTTTAGGAAAGAAAATAATTAAGTTTTCCAGTTTTGAACAGTAGAAAATGAGTTCATATAGCTAGGGTGAAAATAATCCGTTGATTTTCTAGATAATCAATAGTTGATTTAGCGAGATCTAGATAGAAAGACTCGAATTTTATCTTATTAAACAATCATCACACGATATATCGTTTATTTGTTACCTTATTATACCAATTGAAAATAGTTGGCGTAAATTTTTTAACGCTCATCTCATGTAACCATGTGTGACCCAAGGAATGACTGAATGAAACTGAGAGAATTTCAAGATTGGGTACATGTTCAATAATATCTTCAATAAAAGATCCAATAATCAGTTGTACGTGTAAATGACGAAGAGATATACATTTAGTAAAAGGTTGCTTATCAATTCCATTTGAATACATATGAGAAGATGATAAAAGACATTGATGTAATTGACAATCATCATCGTACTTCGATAAATCAATTCGAAGCGAAGTTAATTGACATTTAGAAGAGAAAAGTTGACGTATAAATTCTTGACACATAACCATCATTTTTTTCACTATGTTATATAAACAAATAATAAATATTTAGTATTTTTTCAATAAATCTAGATGAACTTTATTTGTTCTTCAGATTTCCTTCGCTAGAAAATTCTACATTAAAATCTAACAGATTTTTCTTTCCAATAAACTCGATTTTGTTAACAAGAAACTTTAAGTTTACCTTCATTAATATCATTGATAGAAGAGTGTTCTTGAGAGTGAAATATTGCAAAAGTATGTTCATCAAATGTCAAGACTAGTTCATCCAATTGATATTGAACAAGTAAAGACAAATTATTGATTAATACATCTGATAACTCACATCGACTAAGTATAAGTGATTTTAAATTAACAAAACGAATAAATTTATCTTGAATAATATATTCAGATATAAAATATAAAAAATTGATTTTGATCCATCAATATAAATTCGTTTTATAGAAGCAGACAGAGATGAATTCGATACTATTCAAGATATAATTGATCGAAATTTATTCAAAGATAAATCCATTTCATTAATTATAATTCCATCATTATTCATTGAATATTTGCTATTTATTTAATATATATTGATTTTGTTTTCTTTTTTAAGAACAAGAAGATTTAACAACATCATTAATGTTAAATATATGTTCACTTAAATTATTAGTTAAACAATGTTCATTTAATAAATATCATTATGATCGTATTAATCAATTAAAAACAAGTTTATTAAATTTAAGTTCATCACAATCATTATTTATATCATGTTTAATACCACATTCATCAATAACACGCTATGAATTATTAAATAATTTAACAAATCTTCAATTAAGTTTTGATACACTTCGTTCATCATATATTGAAACTCGTCTTTATTTAATAAAAGATACATGTCAATCATCAAAAATAATTCAATCAGAAGATCATTTATTACATTCATTTTTTCTTTTTCAATTAAATTCTATTGTTCGTTTATTAACTAAATCAATATTAATTAATAAAAATATAAAAATAAATAAACAAAAATTTTCATTTAAAAATTATTTTAAATTAGATTGGTCAAGATTTATAACAGCATTAAAAACAATTATTATTATTACTATTGGTTCAATATTTGTTATAATACCAAATATAGCAAATAAAATTGAACATGGTCATTGGATATTAATTGCACTTTGTATGACAGAAGGAGATACTGTCGGAGGTGCTTTTACAACTATTAAAATGAGATTAATGGGAACTTTATTTGGTATTTATTTATTTTTATTCTTCATATTAAAAAATACTTATTTATTTTTCTTTTCTATTGAAAATATAAGGTGCTATGTGGGCATATATTAGATATTTATCAGCTGGAAATGATCTATATAGAACAATAATAATGCTTTGTCCATGGATATTCTATTGTGGTTATATGAAATTATATCCTCAATGGGGTTATACTGTTATAGTAGCTGCATTAACACCAATTATTGTTAATTTAGGACGTTTACCATTTGGAGATTCTTTACCAGCAGGAAATTATGCACTTCTTAGAATTCAACAAAATGTCATTGGAATTAGTATTGCTCTTATTCTTGCTATTATTATTTTTCCACTTTTTGCTATTGATCTACTCAAAGAAAATATTTATAGTAATTATTTAAAGATTTCTTTTATTTATTTATTCCTTTATATTCAATAGACCTTACAATGAAAAAAGAAGTTTTTGATATATAGTTAAGAGAAGTTTTTAAACGAATTTGTCAAAAGAAAATTCTAAAGCGTTTCGCATTATTGAAGTCAACTGATGATTTTTTTAATTAACATATGAGGTTGTTCGGAAAACCCATTGCAATTCATTTATATGACATAATGGGATAACAACTGCTACATTTATTGAATGTATTAACTTTCGCTAGCCATCACACGTTGCTAACCATCATATCAACTATTTATTTCATTGAAAATGAACTCCAAATTAACATTATTGAAGCACTCTTCAACAGACATAATCACTTCCGTATAAATGCAATATCCGGAGAATAGGTAAGGTAGTACAATTTGACGAAGTGATAACGACTGTTGAGAACTAGTCAAGTAATATTCATTCGAAGTTCTTTTTCTAATGGTGGTGTCTAGCGAATGTTAATATATTCATTCAATCCAGCAGTCCTTGTCCTATTGATTCATATATATGAATTGCATGGACTTTTCGGATAACTTCAATATGTATATTCTTTTTTCTTTTTAGCAACATTAGAATTATGTCGGAATAATGTTGAATCAATGGTACATATATATAATAAAGTATTTCATCATGAAGATAATCAAGAAAATTTAATAGATTTTTCAACATTAGATGATATTAAATATTACATTGATAATCAACGACGTACTTTTCATAAATTAATAAGTATTCAACGAACATTAATTGGTTATGCATCAATTAAACCATCTTGTTGATGGCTTAATAATGGATTTTCAACTTCACGTTATAAAACAATTCTTCAACAACAAATTGATATTTATAAAATGTTATATCATATTAATTTATCTGTAAGTCTTCATTTAAAAAACAAGCAGAAGGAAAATTATTTAGTTTTTGTTTTTCTTTCATTTAAGTTATTACGAATAAATGAATGTTCAAATATGGATAAAAAACAAGTTGAAAATCTTCGCTTATTTGCATCAGATGGTTTATTTCTTCCTAATCAGAAACAAAATCTGATCAAATATATCATGGTTCAATTTATCATAGAAAACATTTAATTAAAAATGATTTAAATAAATGTGAAAAATGTTTAAATGAACTTCATCAAACTGTTGTTTATCTTCAAGAAGAACATCAACAATCAACAAATCAATTATTAAAATATTATTTTCAAAGATTTTTATCTGATGAAATACCAGAAAATTTTGTTCCATTTTTTAAAAATGATCAAGCTGATTCAATATTTATTGCTATACCAGCTATGTATTATTCAATAACACAACTTGTAAAAGTAGCTTTAGCTTTAGATACAACAATACATGATGTTTTTGAACTTGAAACAACTGATTTATATTGTCCTTTTTAATTTTATTTTATTATTAACTATTTGTTTTTTCTTGATGATTTAATCAATTTGTTTTCAATTATTAAGTTACATAGCTCTTTGATCTCTGCACACCTCTATGGGCATTTCTAGAATTGTCTCAGTCCATCTGATGAAAGCTTTATTTTTTTTTTTTTGTCAAAAAAGCAAATAGATCTATCTTTAATGTTGAAATATTAGATTAAATAGTTTCATTATAATTGTTTTTTATTCGAAAAAGAATCGATTTTATTCTAATCTTTTATCTTAATTTCGCAGAATAGAAACAGAACATTTATTCAATTTATTCACATTACTTATTTATACGTAAGAAAAACTTTAATATTAACTGCATTAAATGCAATCAAATTTTCTCAAGTTGAAAAGTTCTGAAATTCCTATAACTACAGTGACATAAAATTCCAGTGTTGAAAAACTTGACATTAAAAAGGTTTTCATGAAAAAAAAATAGGAAAGTCCTTTGTTTGATTTTGTTCTGAATGAGAGATACATTACTTATTGAAAAAACATACAAAAAATTTATTCAAAAATTTACATTTTTTATCTGTTGCTAAATGATTCTCTGAATATGTCATCAGAAACGTGAGTCTTTTATATTAAAAACAAAAAACTCTATTTTTATTGAATACATCAGATTGAATTTATTTTTCATATCAATACACATATCAATATTGATCATTTGTTTTAATTTTTTATTTATAAAATTTGATAGATAATACATGTGAATAGATGATAAGGATTATTATTTTAAAGAATTTATCTACTTTTGTTTTTTCGAACGAAATATAAATGAACAACAACGAAAACAAGATTGAAGTCCTATGAGTATATAAATAATAATTAAATAAATAAAAGTAAATTGATCTAATGTTTTATGACAATATGATCTAATATTAAATGGATAATGAATTTGATATTCTACACGAGATCGTATACAAAATGTCCAAATACTACCTATAATTAACCAAATTATAGAAAATATTTCTCCAGTAAATATAAAAAAACTTAAAATAAGAAAACTAATCATTGTCATTATTGAACTTTTATAAGAAATAAATATTGTTAATAATGACAAAAGAATTATCAGAATAATCGATCCAATGAAAGCAGATCCAGCAACAATTAAAAAAGACTTATACGAGGTTCAATTGGACAATAATATGGTCTACAATAACGGATATCAATAACAATCATACTTATTAGAATCCCAAACATGTTTAAAAAACTATTAAATCAAATATTGATGTTACTGTAACACAACCAACAATATAACAAACCCATTTATATGATGTTTCACTTTTCGAAGAATGAATTGGATGATTATATGAATTTTCTGATGTTAAAGTTAAAGGAATTCTTTGTTCCATAGGATTTCGTCTTTATATTTAACAACACATGAAATCAATGATTTTCTTTTTTTTCAGATAAAAGACTAAAAAACAAAGGGAAAAAAATTTGTCACCTTCAGGTTAAAATGAGTCTTTACTGACGAGGTCAAGAACAACACAGAACATTTTCTAGTCAATAGTTTTTATGAAAAGAGATAAGTTAAAGAATGAATTAAGTTTTGACAATATAAAAAGAACAGAGCAACGAAATTGAGTTTATTTCACAAAGGATGTTTCATAAGTTTCGGTCCCATTTTTATTTTGTTTTTTATTATTGTTGTATTGTAAGATAAAGAGGTAGAATCTGTATATTTTTGAAGAACAGCATCTAAGCTATCATCCAGTATGAATTGAGTTGAATTTACATGACCTCAAAAAAGTACTACATTGATACAGATATTGAAAAAAACTTGATCAAAATCATATTTTGAAATGTTACAGAATTTGGTTTGTTTGTCTTTAGTGGATCATATCTCTGTAAAAATACAAGCAAAGGGTCCAAAATTTTCAGTGTAAGCAGAGCTCATTTGAATCTACTATCTATAAAAAACTCATCTATTTTGATTCGGCTATAACAGAAATATCCTCGAAATAGTAAAAATTTTGAAACCTCAATAGTGAGCGTTAGAGAATCTGAAAAACCTGAAATTGGTAATGGTCGATATTTCAAGGATAACTCTGTTTTAGCAGAATCAAAATAAATCAGATTTTTATGAATAGTAGATCCAAATGAACTCTACTTACACTGAAAATTTGGACTCTTTACGTTTGTTTTCACAGAGATATGTCCCACTAAGGACAAATAAACCAATTATTCTGTAACATTTCAAAATATGATTTTGATCAAGTATTTCTAATATCTTTATCAATGGAATACTTTTTTGAGTTCATGCAAATTCAACGCAATTCATATTGAATGATAGCTTAGCTGCTGTTCTTCAAAAATATACAGATTCTACCTCTTTATCTTACAATACAAAAATAATAAAAAACAAAATAAAAGTGGGACCGAAACTTATGAAATACCCTTTATGTGGCAATAGACTAAAGGTCAAAATGTCATCACCTTTATCGTTGGTGCTATGAATCATACTGGTCCACGTTCGATATATTCTAGGCACGTAATGACATATGTCGTCATTTGTGTGATGTATGATGAACGTGCTGCCACAAGTACGTTAACTATATGGGAGAGGACATGACTAATTTTTAATTGGTCAGTATGAACAATGTCAATTGTTCGAAATGAATTTATGATGGAATAAAATAGAAACACAATAAAATATATATTAAATGTAATATCGAAAGATTGTTGCACACCAGTTTTCAGCATCACTTATAGTTTCTCTTATATTACCATTACTTTTTTTTCGATTATATATTTCTATCTTTGTTGTTGGTTGATGTGATTATTACTTATTATTTTGATTATATTCACTTTTTATTATACAATGACAACCAACAAAAGAAAAAAAATACAAAGCATTGATAGCTACGAGTTTGAAGCATTCGTACGAATTCATTTGCCAAAACATCTTGCTGATACATTACTAGTTGACGTTGGTATTACATCTTATAGTGGTTTTCTGCAATGTTATGATTTAAATGGTGAATTACTTGCAGCTCATGACTCTTTACATGAACAGAATCGTGAACTTTTATTTTCATACAATAATTCATTACCTGTACCATCACCCATTGGTTTAAAAAAAGCTGTTTTACGTGAGCTGCTGATTTTCCAAGAAGAATGTAAAAACAAGATGAACAATGGAAAAATTAATAGAACAAATTCAGGTACGGATAGAGACTATACATCAAAATGAGTGACATGCATATTGAACATTTTGAATCAAAAGTTTTTTAAAACATATTTCTAGAATTATTGTTTTCATAAAAGTCACTACTCATTTTATTTTCGAGAAATCACAATGATATTAGAATAAACTTTTTCAAAGCCTCTATGTCCAGTATTCTGCAATCATAAAGAAAATATTCGTTCTATTTTTATTAGTGTATTAAGATATTTTAAAAAGTCAATATTTATATTCTGACAGTATATTTGTTTAAAAATTTTCATTTATTTTATTCAAAGAACAAAGTAGTAGCAGTCAAGCGGAAAATGATCTTAATAATGTATCAAAACGATTAAAGACACATTATGATACATATCGAACAGTTGTGTGTAAAACTCGGGCCAATGATACGATCGAAGATGACAAGTTCAAATATAGAGAAGTATATCGCTTTTGTTATTTTTCATTATGCTTGTTATCTCAAATTTTATTCAACTTTCTAGAAACCAATCACAAATGAAGATAGTGCAACAGATTGGTCTTTTAATCAAGAAGAATTAGATCATGAAACAGCTTTTAATGATTGTAAAAATTTTGATGATTTTATTGTGAAAGAGGCAACCCATATTTATGTGACTCAACAGCGTATTCATCATTTTTTTTGTAAAAATATGTGTATCAAATCTGAAGGTAAACATCTACTTTATTTGTTTTAAAGATGCAACTAAGAGAGTTCTGCAGACTGTGGTCTATTGTTTTTAAATGATTTTCACTTGATGAAACTCCGTTATAATACCTTCTATATTATGAAAGAAATTTGTCAAATGTTTTTGTTTTAAAGTCAGACTCAGATGCTATTCTCACAAACAGTATCGATATTAGATCTTGAAATGATTAATAAATCGAGAATATTTTTACACAATATAATGGAAAATCAAATAAAGCACGAAATTACCACACAATGATTGAAGCCATCAACATAATCTCGTTAGTTCTTCAAGGCCTACTTCGTTAAAAATGATAGAGAACGAAACAAACAAAAGCTTGTATAGGTTAAAGTATATTTTTTACAGTAATTTGTTTCAACAATAAGTCTCTAATTCGATGATAAGAGAAATTTACAACGCTTTGATTCCTATATACTATCGTAATAGAAGCTCTCGTTTCGAAACCATATATCAAATACTTTACTGTAATAGAATCTGCACATAACTTAAATAATCGAGCATGTTTCGAATAACATTCGGACAATTACAGCAAACACCATTAAGACATATAATCATGATAGACTTTATTTATTCGTTTATGAGGTGATAAGCTATGTTGTACACCATAAATTGGGTAAAAATTTTCAAGACTTGAGAACATGATTTTAAAAAAAAGAAAACATCAGATTTCAAAATATAAGATATAATTTTTTTTCGAATTCCATAATGTTGTGTAGTCTACTGCTTCATCTTTGACTTCAATTCAGAAGTACGTTAAACTCTTTTTTCTTTAGAAACATTTGTTTTTCAGAATCAGATTAATAAAAAATAGAAAAATTAGGAAATCTACTAAATAATTATCCAAGTTGCTAATATAAAAACACCAAATATAACAAAACCTTAATTTTTCAAGGTCGAGTCGCATTTTTGTTTATCTAATGTCTTTTGATTACTCTAAAGACCTTAGTAGGATTCGTAAAACTCTAACTTTTCACATCTCTAAAAAGCTGCCTCTGTGTTCTAAACTATACGTGATGCATTATTTATCTATCGAGATTTTATCATTGGTATAAATAAAACTTTGCGAGTACATACCGTAATCTACAATAAAAGCAGAAGTACTGTGATAACGTGCATCAAAATTCACTCTTTCCTAATGAATATTCTCGTTTCTAACGAGAAATGTAAAAGTATATTTTGTCATGCAATTGATACAAACACAAAATAGTATACATTTTCAAGTTTTGATGAGCAAGACTTTTTTTTTTACACTACGCTAAAGATTTTCTTTTCTACATGCGCGAATTCTCTTAAATTATTCTATAAGACAAATAAATTGTTCTTTGTATAATTGTCGTATCGAGGTTATATTGGTCATCAACGTTGAACTTCAATTTGACATATACATGTCTTTCTTTTTGTAGATATACAAAAGTTTGTATTCTTAGTACAATCGAAACTTGAATGGCATGTAGAACAGTTATATGAATATACAATGAAAACTCGAATGATAAAAGCATTATTTGATCAATTTGTTGGTACATATAAAAATGCTCATTTCGAAAACCATGATAGCCTGAAGAAAAAAGTAGAATGGCTTGTTCATTTTATACATCAAACAAAATATGTAACTTTTTTTCATCTTTCTTCAGTTATACATATGACTTGACATATTTTTTCTTCTTATTTTTGTTGTAGAAGCCAAGTGGTTATAATAATTGATGGAACATTATTTTGTGCATATATATTTGTATATAAAATGATGGTGAAATAAAATTCATTTTTTTTTTGACTCTTTTGTGTATGCAACAAGTCACTTGAAGAAATAAATACATGATTTCTATGTCTAGTATATTCTTTTTTGCCTATAAAAATTTGAATATCTATCATATTAGTGTGGGAATTAGCTACCACTAATTGCCACTATGAAATGATCAAAGTGAAACTAGGTTTATTTTACTCTGAATAAAGCAATAAAAAGTTGCTATACTTACTTAGACGAATCTTGTCCTCTGATGATTGATTGGATTCCTTATATTCGTGATGATTCTGACCACCAGAACAATTCATCTGATTGCCGAAGTATTTATATCGTTTGGCTGTATAATCAATGAAAAATATTTGAGAAAGAAAAATGTTATGAATATAACTTATTTTCCATTAATGTGTACAATTTTTATCCATACTTTAACTTCATCGTATTATTATATGATGTACTTAATTGAAAATCTTTTAAAAACTTCAATTGTTTAGTTTATTCAAGGTTTATTTTCTATTTGTCTTATTGCTATATCCACCTTAATTTTTATCTTTGTATTCACTTCTTGTTAACTTAACATTATTATTGTTCTGATCACTAATGTCATTTAGTGTAATTTAGTCATTTCAGAAAACAAAAATTTTTTCACATGTTGAAGTAAAATAGTTTTTGCCATGAATAGTTAATTCTACTTTTATTTTTAGTTATCATTTGTCGGGGTATGAAATTGATAAAATTGTGCACATACTAACGCAAATGTTTTTTTTATCTAGAAGAAACCGCCATGAACCATCTACATCATTAGTGTTATAGAAAAAATTAGGAAAAACAATTTCTCTTGTATTGTTAGCTTTCCTGTTATTATAGATCGCATAAATTCTGTTATCATCTACATGTTTTTTGTTATGAATTATGTTTTTTTAGTATGATCTATGAAATATAGCTATTTGATTTATTTAAAAAAGGTGATAATACGATGCAAATATAGTTTGACCTGTCATGAACACACTTCATAGCTGTTATCGTTTTTATTCTCTATCATAATATTAACATAATCGCGTGTGAAAAAACGTAAAATGTATTAATCAAAATTTGTGTCATCTGAAATGTTCAACAGTCAAGTTATTAGTTAGTGATGAGAAGTTAAGTATTAATTAATGAAATTATTTAGACTTCTCAGAGTTAAACGCATATATGAATTCAATATATACTATATTATAAGCAACTCTTCAATGGATTTTGTTTTCATGTATTTATGAGGAGTCACTCAGCATAAAATTCCCAAAGAGAAGATAAAAAAAGGAACAAAACGAGTAAATAACATCGAAATCAATTAAATTTTACATGACACAAAGAGTAGTTTCGATTGAATATGACACAAGATTGTTTCTCTTAATACTCATATGTCTAATATCTACAGTGCACGATAAAATGCACAAGAGACATGCCGGCTTTCATGTCGCGAACATGTTTGAAACCATTCAGAAATCGTTACTATAGAACTTTATGAACACAATCATTAGAAAATGATTCATTATGAACAAATTTTAATAGCTAGGACTTTTAAAGTTGTCCACTATATTGAGATGTTCAGTATAAATAGATATCCATCATGTTCACCTTCGAAAGTCTCTGTAGTTTGGTACACGTTTATAATATGAAAAGATGAATCTATTAATAAGAAATGACATGATCTAAAAACATTTCATGTGTTAAAATTAGTATATCCGAAAAAATAGCGAGAAAAATCACCTTATAAAAAATTAATGCAGATTAATACGACTATTTTGAATGGTTTCAAACATGTTCGCGACATGAAAGCCGGCATGTCTCTTGTT